AGTTTATACCCAAGGTACTTTTTCAGTCAGCAACCAAATATGATAAAGAGGCTGGTGGGGCAATTAAAAGGGCAATCCCAAATACTTTGGAGAGTTCTTGAGTTTAACATCAAACCTAATAGCACTAAGGAAGAGGTGCCTATGTTTAGGGTGGAAGTGCCAGAAGAGGGCCTGCAAATCTCTGAGGAGTATATAAATCACCACTGGTGAGAGAAGGGATACCTCCTTGGGTGCACCACACTCCCCTCCTGGTTTAACTGATAGAACTACGTCTGTCAGTGGAACAAACCTGTTTAATCCCATCAAGTATCTTCTTCCATGTGAAAAATAGCAGCCAATCTCAATGGCAGTCTACAGTTTGTGCCTTGCACAACAGTATTAAAAATTGTGTTCTATCTAATTGCTGAGTGATCAGTCTCTTCTGTATGTGGGCGAAGAACAATTTAAAAAGCTGTTGTGACACTCCAAGTAGACAGGTTTTTGGGTGAAGCCTTCAGAAGAGCTTATGTAGGGCAAAAAGAAGGTAAGGCATGAAGAAAGGCAGAGGAGATAATCAGGGCAATATTGTTGCTTTGGAACTGGAGCTGAATCTTTTCCTCCTTGTTTTCGTCTTTTTCCTTTGAAATGGTGCTTGATATAATTAGAATAATTTTCCATTTTTCTAATACTTCCTCCAGTGGTTTCACATCATGTTAATCAGAGCATTTGGGGGAGAAATGAGGTAGCAGAGATAAGGCTTTCAATTGTTTTTATATTTGATTGTTTTAATCTTAATATATGCTTATTTGTTGTTTATTGTGATATGTTTGTAAATTTCTTATTTTATCTGTTGTGGGTCTCCTTGGGTCTCCTCTCCTCTTAAAAATGTCAAATTTTAAAGTGCACACTTACAATCTTTCTAAACAATTGGTGTGAATTATCAGAGGTGCTACATAGATAGCTTAACAATAATTGTGTTCCATCAAGTCAATTCTCATTTCCAGAGCCCCTTTTCAGGGTTTTATAGGGAGGGAGCACTCTGTTTATCTGTTGTGGGTCTCCTTGGGTCTCCTCTCCTCTTAAAAATGTCAAATTTTAAAGTGCACACTTACAATCTTTCTAAACAATTGGTGTGAATTATCAGAGGTGCTACATAGATAGCTTAACAATAATTGTGTTCCATCAAGTCAATTCTCATTTCCAGAGACCCTTTTCAGGGTTTTATAGGGAGGGAGCACTCAGAAATGGGGAACTGAACTCCCATCCTCTAGCTCTACAGCCAGATACCTGACTGTATACCATGCTGGTCCCCTCTCTAATGGCCCCAGTTATGGTGGGTGCTTTATGAGCTCCAGCTCCTCTTCTTGACTTAGGATGGCTTTTATTAGTGGTACAGTACGGCACTCTCTGCCTTCACATAGGACTATGTGCAGTCCCCTGAGTGCTGCTTGGGACCTCACTGGTGTTCCCCAGAGCACAGGTTCTAGAAAGCAAGAGGAAGAAGGAAGCTTTGCTCCAGGGCATGCCCCTATTAGAGAAGGTTCAAAGAGACAGGTGAAAGCAATCAGATTCTAAGACTCATCTCTTCCCCTCTCCTGAGGAGCCGGTCTTTACCAACCTCTTTAAGGCCACAGTAGTGAGCACTGCTGCACCCAGGAACATGGCTGGAGTTTCTAGCATCAAACTCCTGTCCTAAATAAAGAAACATAGTGAGAAGACACTGCTCCTTGTATTCTTCCCTTCTTCATGAGTAAATGATGATCCTGTGTCATCATTTCCCCACTCCTACCATTTTATTCTCCTTGACCCCCTCATTCTCCAGCTATTTCTCATCAGGGAGCTGTCTCTCTTGCAGCTGCTTGGATCCCCTCCTGTTCGATTGATACTGAGGAAACTTAACCTCCTCGCAGCTTTCTGATACTTGTGTGCTGGGGCCAGATGGCATGCAAAGGGTACACACCTGCACCGCCTCACGCTAGCTCAATGAGCTAACCAGCTTACAGGAAATCCATAACAATACTTTTGAATTAAGACCTAATGAAATAAACTGAGAAAAATATCAATGCATGACAGAACTTACATGCAGGGGACCACTAATATGTAACCCCTGTTTTAATTCTACTTTTAAAAAAATCTCCAAATGAAATGCGGAATGCAATAGTGATTTTTCTTCTTCTTTTCTTTCAAAGAAGAAAGAAATTTATCTATCAACATTGTAATTGCTGATATATGACCTAACCATTACATTTTTATATTTGTCCATTTTTAAAGTGAGTGATCTGTTTTCATCTAGGAACTTTTAAACATGGTTTTCTAATAAATTGACTATGGTTCTGATAATGCCTCAATATTTGATTCCAGAGCTTTTTTTATTAGCTGTTGTGATGTCATCTGGAACCTTCTCTGTCTGAAAGTCAAGATTAATGCCATAGCTTTCAAATTTTATTCTTTCTATAACAAGATATGTTGCTGTATTCATCTAAATGGTTCAGTAAATTCCTGGATAAAACTGCAGGATTCTTATGTGTAAAAATGATCGTATCAGCATTAAGCAGTATTTCATGTTCCTCTTCTCAAAAGTTTATGCATCACTGACGTCATCTAATATCCTGATGCTAACTACTAGCTGTAGTTGCTGTATATATTAAGTCGATTCCTTCTAATTTTTTTGGCCACATCCAAGTTTTGTAGGGCAGTCTTTAGATATTTCCAGTCTATGCAATCAAAAGCCTTATTCTGCCATCTACAGAATAAAAATGGCTGGAGCTCCAACTATTGCCATCACTCCCACATGACTGATTCTGAGGCAGTCTTCCTGTCAGGATCTGGCCCATACTGCCCTGGGAGCTACATGATCAGGGCCAACCTGAGCCAGGAATGGCCTGGTGTTTGCAGGGTCAGGCCCTGGCCTGTGTAGCAGCTGCTGGCCCACTCATGAGGCTCACGTGGAGGCCTGAAGGGAAGGTCTATTTAAGGAATGGTTATCTCACCCAGAACTTTCCTCAAGAACAAAGGTCTTCTGGCTGTGCTGTTTCCTGTCTTGGTCCGTGATCTCACCCAGAACTTTCCTCAAGAACAAAGGTCTTCTGGCTGTGCTGTGTTTACTGTCTTGGTCCATACTCTTGCCTCCAGTGTTCCTGCACCTGCTTCTGCCTTGGTTCCTGCTCTTGCTTACTACATCTTGGCACCTGGTTCCTGCTCTGTGTTCACAGCGTCTGCTCTTGTTCCTGCCTTGGTCCCTGCTCTTGCCACTGCTTGCCCACTTTATCTCAGCACCTAGTTCCTGCTCTGTGTTTACAGCCTTATGTTCCTGCCTCTGCTTAGTCACAATCAACTGCACAGTGAGTGCTGTGAGACTTGATAGTCTGAGTGGTGGACTAGGTCATGGTGTCCTTGCCCCTGGTGTGGGACTCCCCAGAATATCCTGGATTGTGACACTTCCACAGTAAGTGCCCTTCCAGTTGCAGTTTCCTACTGCAAGTTCTAGCAATTCCTGGGATGAGATCCAAATCTCAGAGAAAGTAGAAAATGTAAGGGCATATGATAGGAAAATAGGAAGCTTCCTGGCTAAGATCTAATAAGAAATAAATGAAATAACACACTTCAGTCACATTGATTCAATTTTTTAGGTCTTTATTGACCAATGTTCAGTTTGATGAGGCTGCTGTAAAGAAGGAAAAACATGTGAAAATCTTGTTAGTTGTGGGGCTCTCTGCAGAAAAGTTCTGGTAACATGGACAGTAATCGGAGTGAAAGCACATACAGTACTGCCTTTGTGGGCTGATATATGTGCTACTGGCCCTGTGGCACAACTTTCGCTCAGCAGGACTGCAAGAATTCAGGAATTTAGCTAATGGAAATGATTTAACAACAGCACCTGGACCGGCTATGAGACATCTGGTGCCTGTGGATTGTTCTCTGTCATCAGTAGAACTCTGTGATTACTGGGTTCCATATTTGTTGGGCAGTAGCTTCAAGGCAGAAAAAGAAGAGGGGGAGGGGAGAGTTATAAGAGGACATGTCTGCAATTGATTGTGAAGGCTTTGGTCTGCTCAGGCATTCTGTGACTGAGATTACAATGCACCAGGTATTTGGCTATTTGGGTGCAGAAACTGATACTCACACCTCAAGCTTTTCCTCAGCCATGGTTTACATTAAGAATGCAAAGGGTGTACTCTTTTTCCTCTTCATGAACACTCATGGGTGGTAGTGAACCCCTTCAGAGGGAGATAACCTCTGCATGATGACATGTGGTTCCCAACCTATGTTACAGCACAATCTGTGGAAAGACATGGTTAGACATCACCCTCCATGCTTGTGACAGATTGCCTGATTGGGGTCCTTTTGTGAAGACAGTGAGGCAACATCAAATCTCAATGGTTTTTTTCCTGGATTTGATTTTACTATTATCACTGCCTCTTGCTGAAGTTTTCAGGACTTTATTTACAGCATGGCTTATGCTATATAATGATAAATTAAGAACAAAGAATCTGGGGGCAAGGGCTTTTTGCCAAACTTGTCTGATTTCCCTGCTCATGGTAACTCCCCTGACAAAACACATTCTGTTCAGGACAGGCCTCCAACATCTTGAAATACTTTGTTGGGAGCACAGAACTTCAGAGGAAGGATTGGTGGTGTTTGGGGGTATTTGAGTGGGATCAGTTATGCAAGCAGCCTTGTTCCCACGTGCTATTTTGTTCCAAAGTACAACAACAAAAGGATTCCCTATATTATGCTTTAATTATTGTTGCCTCCCTGAAAGCTATTGAAAGCTACTCACTGAGTTAGACCAGTTTTATGATTACTGTTAGACCTTAGATATATATTCAGCTGTTCTCCTATACCCAGTAAAGGAAGGTGGTTCTCACTTAATGTGGAATATTATGTAAGTGTGAATGAAAGTGGAAAGTTGTCTGTACAACATGGTAAACTTTGTTTTTTCTATTTTTCCAGATGAAAGGTGGATGGAAATAGGACAGGAAACCATGGCCTGGTTTACTCATCTGCCAATAAACTGGATTGGTTTTACATATGAGGATGGACATCTGAGTTATGGGAATCTCTTTTTGCTATTGTTCCTTCTGCTTCTCATCTTGCCCTTTTCATTTGGAATGATTCTGTCATTTTTAATCTTTGTTCTTTCCATTGTTCTTGCCATATACAAGAAAATGAATAACTTATCAGAAGACATCTTGAGCACTTCATGGCACAAACCAAGGCACTTTTTTGCACGCTATTTGACTAAATTAGGAAAGACAATGCATGGTAAGCAAATATTGCCCCTAAAATGAAAAGTGCTTTTTAAAAAGTTATATGAAGGTGCATTAAAAGTGAAAGTATGTGTACAAACTGCATTTTGTAAGATAGTTTACATTACAGTGCTGAAACAATTAGCTTGTTTGTGAACAGAGCTACCAATAAGATAGCATAGCACAAGTAACTCATTCATGAATAAATCAAGTACAAACGAGTTGTAATGAGTATTCATCACAACTCCACGTCACTTTGGGCAGCAGACATCAAAGAACAGCAACCATTATGTTTGAATTTCCTCCATGTAAGCCAGCACAAGACTAATTTAGCTGGGTGAGCTGCTTTCTATTTTGAAATGTTTTTCTCTCTGTGTTAACATGCTTAGAGCTATAGAGTGCTTTTTGCTGTATAAATTTTTACTTTTAAATGTTTAAATAATTTTCCAAGCTTTCCACTAAAAATTATAATGCTTTTGGTTTTTATAATTTTATTTTTAAGAACTTAGATGTATTTTAGAGATTTATTCTCTGCCTTTATAGACTATAAGCTCGTTATAGCCTATAAAGAATGTAACTAAAACATTTTTGTATTTTATTATACTTTTGCTCCTATATTTTGAAGCAAAATCTTCTTACAACTTGCAAGAATAGATCTAAAGTTATGTGCCTACAGTTTTTCATGCAAGTATAAGATGTTTGGATGTTACAACAACTATGAAGTAATTTTATATTGCGGAACCTAGAAGATGTAGAAATAAAACTTGTAGAAATAGACAACTTTTGGAGTTGCCTGGGATTATTGCAACAAGGAAAAGAGTTATGATGTAATGCCCAGATTAGTTTGATATACTTATCAATGATTTTCTGGTTTTGTTCTGGGATTAACCCTTTACTTTGGTAATGTCCGCTCTAACCAACTATAGGCACCTGTTTGCTCAGGAGGCCTATAAATCAGTGTATGACTCCTGGAGGAGTCAGTTATACTTATCAGATCTGACATTGTAGGGAGCCTGTTAGGTCAATTAAATATTCTGATAAGATAAAAACCCATTATCCCCTGACCCCGGAATAAGACATGAGACAACTCTTATGGAATAAAACATGGGCTGCACTTTATTTAAATTCCATATTCATCAAGAAAAAAGGGGGGTCCTGCAGTACTGCAGATTGATGTTCTGCAGAGGGGTCTCAGCAGACCCCTACCAAACTATGGGCGAGTCCCGAGCCCCAAGATCTCGCAAGTCGTGAAGGCAGCGAGAACCCGGCCGACTCAAATTTGACCACCCCCAGACCTCAAGTCCCCTTCTTGTTGGCTGTTGGTCCAGGAGGGGCCCCAGCAGATCTTCTCCCCCAAGCACTGTAATTGCATGATCTGCAGCACTGGGAGATCAGATGAGCTATACATTACGTGCATTAGTGATGGGACTCACCGAAACCTGCTTTATCCGCACTACCTGCGTGTGTGACCGATTAACCTCCTTATCATGCCAATGCACCTTAGCCAATGTGGGATAGGCAAAAAATCTCCGCTTCCAAAGGCCAATCAGGATATGGGTCAAAAATCCCTATCCTGCCCCAAAACCAGCGGCCAGTAGAACTCACACTAGCATTCAGGACAGGCGAGTGGGCTGTTGAAGAGGGAGAGGGTAGGAGGACCTCTTCCTTAAATAGACTGCTTGCCAGGTGCCTGGATGTCATGGCGAGACCCGTATGTCTTGCGCTATCCCAGGTGTGGGATAATGGCATCCTGCGCTGGCACATTATGGGCCAGTGGACCGGTCAGAAGACTGATGTGTCTAGTTTCTTGAAAGATTTTTCTGACCCTGATCAACTCAGAAATAATTTTAACCTCATCTTCTCTGTGTAAACTCCTATGGGAAGGAGGAAAAATGTGCACATTGAAAAGGAGAAGGTCTGATGTAAAACTGGCATAGAAAAGTAAGATCTGGGCTTGTCACTGGAAAGATGTATAATTCTTGTCCTAATGGAATTGAAGGAATTGATTAATCCCTCTGAAAGAAAGAGGATGTAAGTATATCTCACCTATGAACGGGGGAAGATTGTTGGTATAAATAGATGAAGAAAGTTCAGAGAGAACTCATCACAGCAACCTAAGAAAAGCACCAGCTTTGACTATTATATTCTAAAATGGTGGTGAAAAGTAAGTTCATTGTCACAGAAATGTATTGTTACAAATTGCAACAAATAAACACACAGACCTCAAGAGGACAATTCAAATCAGATAAATTCTGTATATACATATTTTTTCTTTCTAATGAAAAAGAAATATGCTTGGGGCATGGACATTTTCTCCAAAGAGATAAAAAGGACAAATTGTTAAAACTGTAAATGTACGATTAATATTTTATATCGCTGTGTTTTTATTTATGTAAAACTGTGTATATTTTAAATTGTTTTATCTTGTATGTTGTGAGCCGCCCAGAGTAGACTATGTCTATTAATACTCCTTGAAACATTTAAGAATTTCAATTAGATACTTACATAACAATTCAGTCAGGAATATTTACTAACGATCTATAATCACAGAAAGGATTGTGAAACGTGCAAATTCTGCAACATCATAAATCTGCACATATTTCAAAATCACTAATGCCAGTTCCCTTTGAGGAACACCAGGTGTGTTGAGATAATAGCAATCTTGTATTGGGTATCAGTGCGAGAGGGGCTTTACAGCCTAATGTGATTATCCTTTGCCACTAACTTATTCACCCAGTAAATAAAAAAATGGAATATCTTGTTTAGCTAATGGTTGATATATACTTATATGACCTGTCTGTTGTATGTTTTCTATTTTCCAGACCATGAGATTATAGGGATGGAACATCTACCTGAAGGACCAGGGATTATTGTTTTCTATCATGGAACTTTCCACATTGACTATTTCTTCTTATTAAGTAGACTGTATTTACAGAGAGGAAAATTGTGCATTTTAGTAGCAGACAAGGCACTGTTCTACGTACCAGGTAACTGTACTTTTAACCCTACATTTAGAATTAGAACATTGCCTTAACAGTGGGAGGTCAGAAAAAGCTGCAGCCAGATCGCTCTGAAACAGCAACCTCTGGCCTACCAAACTGCCTGGAAGCATGTTGAAACCCAGTATGACTGTGATAAGATGGTGAGACCAGTAACAGACTCAATATCAGTTGTGGACAGTTTGTGATTCCCAGAGTGGGGGACTGAGTTGGCATTGTATTTAAAAATCCTCTGAAGGTTAGTAGGATTGCTGCCCAGGTTGGAATGCATCCATGTGTCTGTGGATCGTTGAGACAGGCTGGAGTTAGTACTGGTGTACTATTCTCCCGGTAACCCAACACTTTCCTTCCCAAGGCTGATAGACTTTGTCTCTGCAGTGATGTTGTAGTCTCCCAGGCTTGTACTCTTGCGGAAGTTCTACATACACACATAGGCACTGCTTACCAATATGACCTCAGACTTCATGGACCTGATGATATTCATGGGGCAGTCCCAAGAGGTGAATGGTTTCACACCATCTCTACACAAGAATTGGAAGTTGTTTATGATTTTGTGTATCTTGGCTCAATGATCTCTGACTCTCTCTCTGTAGATGTCGAGCTGGATAAAAGCATTGGCAAGGCAGCTACCATGTTCTCTAGACCTACAAAGAGATTATGGCTTAACAAAAAGCTGATAGCATATACCAAGATCCAGGTCTACAGAGCTTGTGTCCTGAGTACACTCCTGTACTCCTGTGCATGGCAAGAGAGGAAGTTGAACACGTTCCATACGCATTGTCTATGATACATTTTTGGCATCATCTGGCAGAACAAAGTTCCAAATAGAGTAGTCCTGGAATGAGCTGGAATTTTTAGCATGTATACATTACTGAAACACAACATACGTTGGCTTGGGCATGTCGTGAGAATGGCTGATGGTTGGATTCCAAAAGATTTCCTTTATGGAGAATTAGTGCAGGGAAATCGCCCCAGAGGGAGACCACAGCTGCAATACAAGGATACCTGCAAGTGGGGTCTGAAGCGGTTTTGTGGTTTTTTCGGGCTCTTTGGCCGTGTTCTGAAGGTTGTTTTTCCTAATGTTTCACCAGTCTCTGTGGCCGGCATCTTCAGAGGACAGCACTCTGTGCTCTGGGATCTCAAGCCTTAGGAATGGACCTCAACATATGGTTAACCTTGACATCTGAGCATTCAACCTGGAGGCTGGCAGTGCAGCATGGCCCTTCTCAATTTGAAGAGACAGTTGTCCAGCAGGCCGAGGCAAACAGGCAGTCCTGAAGCCAGTAAAATCAGGGAAGTGGACAGAGGACAGATTATACAGTATTTGTCTTCAGTGTGGAAGGGATTGTCACTCTTGAATTGGCCTTCACAGCCACACTAGATGCTGTTCCAAGACTTCTATTCAGAGAACATTACCATAGTCTCTTGAGACTGAAGGATGCCTAACTATGCTGACATTCAAAGCCCAAAATGGTTTAGGACCATGCTAATGATCTGAGCACCTGTCCCTTAAAAAAACCTCATGATCCACCTGAATATCAATCTAAGATGTTACAGGTGGCCACACTGAGGGAGGCCTGGAAATCAGCAAACTAGGAACTGGGCCTTCTCTGTGATGGCCAACTTGTTGTGGAACTCTGTCCCAATTGAGGTGCAACTAGTTCCTTTCCTCCTTGGATTCAGAAAACAACTGAAACATGGCTGTTTACACAGGCCTTTCATGACCTTACCCAAATCAACTTTTTTTTTAACTATTCCTTCTCTCTTCTGCCACCATTGTTTGTTACTTGGTATTCATAATTCATATGGGATTGCGTCTCTTTTGTTTGTTATTTTAAGGTGATTTTATTTTTGAATTTTATTACTGAATTCTATTTGGTATGATATTGTAAGCCACCTTGAGTAGTGGCCAAGCCACTAGATGGGGGTGGGAGTTAGGGTGGGGGGCAAAAATTAAAATAAAAATTTAAAATAAATAGATAAATAAATAAAGAAGAGTTGGTTCAGCTAGCCAGATTTAACGACATGGGATTCCCACCCAGCCCACATACATTTCTTGTTGCTTTCCATGGGTAAGGGACAAGGGGGATGTGGATCCTGAAAAAGATTACATTTTAAGTGTTTATCACTGAATTCAGCAGTCATTTACAGGTGGAAGAACTCTTGCTCAGGTAGGAAGACTACGAATCTGAAAAAGAACATATAATAAATTCCAGAGGGGTCCTCATCCTGCCCCAACTTATCTTGAAAAATTCTGGGAGGAATTAGATACTGCACTCACACATAATGCACCTCTGCCTCTTCCACATTTCTTTGTTTTGTTAAAAAAAACATATTTAGGTATATTCCCAAGCAGTTTGGGGAAGGGAATTTCTCCAAATGTATCTTTGCCTCCCTATTTTGTGACAATTTCCTTTCACGACACTCATTCTGCCAAAACCCTGAGCAAAGGCTAACAAAAAATTCTATACAGCATTAGCTGCAATGTACAAGAGAGTGGAACATTGTTTGTCAAGGAAAGAGCACATACTAGCTGTTCCTTAGCATAGAAAGTGGCAACTAAAGTAGCCGTATTGAATGGGTGGAACTTACAGAACAGTTGACTCATGAAATTCCCGCTGATTCAGTGGGCTTACCCTTGTTGCAACTCACTGTGGTAAGCAACAGATTTTCAGCTACTGATTGACTACTTTCTTACAGTAAGGAATCACAATCTGGTAATCTTCCTTATGCCTCTGTACAAATTTGGTTTCTCCCACCCCCCAGCAAAAGGCCCCAATGAAATATGAGTAAAGACAACATTTCGGCACCACATTAATAATTTCATACTTTCAGAAAAAAATATATTGTGAGGAAAATGACAGTAGGCAAAAATAAGAGGCAAAGGAAAACAAAGATACCTGTTGGTTGTTCTGAGTTTTTTGGGCTCTTTGGCCATGTTCTGAAGGTTGTTCTTCCTAACGTTTCGCCAGTCTCTGTGGCCGGCATCTTCAGAGGACAGAAACCTGTGCTCTGGTGTAGTTGGCTTGGGAGTGCAGTATCTATGGCTGTGAGATAGGCTTTTGTCTTTTTCTGTAGATGGGTGATTAGTGTGTATTGTTGTGGATGTATTGTTGT